ATTCCACGCTCACCAACCATCGTTTCAAGACCCTGCGATATTTCATGATGTCAACTAACAACTGAAATGGAGTTAACAATTAGAACATTTTACTTTGGCATTGTACATTTGGCAACTTATCAATGAACTTTGCTGCATTTGCAAGCTCGATTGCTCTATTGATTTCTTCAAGAGTTGGGTCCTCCTTTCCATACGTGATATTTTCCCTGATTGTACCTGCGAACAGCACTGGTTCTTGGCTGACAAGACCAATTTTTCTTCTTATCGATCCAAGATTTATTCTTCTAATATCAACTCCATCAATTAACACTTCCCCAGACTGTGGATCATAGAATCTCTCCACCAAACTGATAACAGTTGATTTCCCACTGCCACTTTCTCCAACTAGGGCCATTCTTGTGCCACTTGGTACTTGCAAGGAGAATCCATCAAATACCAAATGTTCAGGTCTGGAAGGATAACTAAAGTACACATTCTTGAGTTCAACATCACCCTTGACATCTTCAAATATGTCACCTGTGGTACAACATGCATCAATATCTGGTTGTCTTTCAATTGTCCTAAACAGTCTATATGCTGCTCCTTGACCTCCTGCAAGGGCTGTTATTGATGATGTCGCATGACCTAAGGACCTGCAGAACAAAATATAACTCAAACCATAAACCGCACAATGTGAAACAGATATATAAATACCATATTGCATATTTTTAGTGATTTTAACTCCGCTGGAAAGTTTAGCTTTGTCACTGTGAGAGTTGCCTTGGGGAGTGTTAACCAACAATATTTTGAATTTATCAATGGAAGACACAAATATGTACATCCATGGAGAAATAATGATCAGTAATCATCAAATATTTATCTTTTTTTTTGTAAATTACGATTTATCAGATGTTTCACTTCTTAACCAAATATTCTCTCGAATCACAAATACTTGTTGTTTCCTAAATGTAATATGTTTCTAAAACCAAATGTAACTATAATCTAGAAAGGTAAATTTTGAGACACTACAAATATGATTTTCATGTACCCAAACTAAATATTTAAAGAGATATTGATATTCCAAGCTCCCAAAGTATTTGTAACCTGAGGGACTATAACGCTAGAAGAAAAAAGTGCACCCAATAAAGAACTTCAAACAAAATGTAAACTTGATCATACATTACCATAATCTGAATCCTTCATGTATATATCATATTTGGGCCACATGTTATATAATTCATTCAAGCATACAGCGGTAACCAAGATTAAGTATGAACTTACATTGCACTGATCATTATAGCCATTATAACATTAATAACAATGCCACCATTGTAGCCTCGCTCGACTATCAATCTAGATCCATACCAAACCGCCAACCCATAGCTGGAAAAAAAGACTGAGATTATGGAACCTAATCCAAGGCCATTAATAACACCTTGTTGTAGAGCAGATTCATATGCCTTTTTTATGAACTTGTTATATGTGTTTATAGCTTTCTTCTCACCATTGAATGCAACAACCTTCAAAGCAAAAGAAGATAAAAAGAACAGGATCAATATACACGCGATAGCAAAGATTTTATAGCCAAATATAAGAGTCGGCCATCACTCACTGTTCTAATGGCCCCAATGGTTTGTTCGACCACGATTCCAGCATCACCATATTTTGCTTGCATGCGGATGGTCAGTTTTACCATCAACCTTGACATAATTGCACCAGCCACAGCAACTGGAGGAATGCTTGAAAGCATAACAAGTGCCAACAGCCATCCTCTCACAAACGCAATAATGAAGCCTCCAAAGAAAGTAGAAAGCAGTTGGATGCACTTGCCAGCCTAATAGACAACGCATGTATAACAAAATTTACATGTTATTATATGCTAATAGAGAATTAGTACATGTACATATTTCTCATTGAAGCAGGATAATGAAATATAATGCAGTACTTGGCAAGTTAAACATATGCATTTCCCATTGACTGAACCCAACTGCATTTATGGTCTGGAAAATCCATCAACTGGGATTTTTTTTTTAAAAAAAGAAAGATTCATTGAACTTATAATGCTGATACATATAATATGTCTTTTTGTCTCCACTTGCATACAGGCAAAGATTATGCATCTTGACTATTTTTTACTCCTACATAGAACATATATGATGCATGACCAAAGAGTTACTTGAGTCAAGCACAAACTCATATTATGTAGTTAGAACAATGTATGTGCGATTCACACAGTTGACTGTGACACATGAAACCAAGTTATTTCTCTGAACTCCTAGATTCTTTTTAGGGCTCTGTAAACTCCTAAATAGACCATGTATGATGCATGCAATTGGGTATGGGCTACAGAAAATTGACTACATAAATTTCAATTAAAAGGGATTCGTTGGGTCTTCTTTCTTCAGTTACTAAATATTTGTACAAAACCAAATCAATTGTATAGGAAATATTGTAACTGAACTTCTCAAAAGAACTACTTTTGGTTAATCAATTAGATTACACACTGAAAACAAGCCTACCTTTTCTCCAATGGCATCTTGAATGAGGAATGCATCTCCTGACATCCTCTCAACTAGTTGCCCAGTGTTCATTTCCTTGTCAAAAAAGGCAATATCCTGCCTCAGTATTGCTTTGAGATACAACGCCCTAATCCGTGCTGCCTGTCTCTCTCCAGTGATTGTCCAGCATGATACTTCTACCAAATTGTCATAATGAATCAAGTAAGCATTGTTTCTAATAATATTTCCAATAAAAAGCTCCTGACAAAAGAACTGCAAGTACTAGTAGCACGTTGTACATTTTTATTCTCCAATTTCTATATCAAAAGATAAAATAAATTTCTATGCAAACATAGATGTTTAAGATAGCCTATTTTCTTGCATAAGATAGACACTTACGAAGTGCTGAAACAAGTCCTGCTCCAACACCAAGATAGATAAAATTCATGATCACCTGAAAATTAAAAAAAAAGAGTGATTTAATTAGCGATTAAGAAATTTAAAAATCAATGAAAAAACAAGCACAGATAATTTTACCCCTGTCATACAGGCTACTGCTCTACATGAAGACGTATTCTTCTGAAAGAATAGTTGCCACTTAGTCCATATTTAAATTGGGAGCTGCTCATTTGCAAATACTCATAAAGAAACACATTACATCATTATGCAACTTACAAGGGGCTCAATATACAGCTCTACGTAAATGGCATACCCTAATTAGTTTAGGCACCCATCACAGGAAACTCATACACTTTGTTCCCCTTAAAAAAGAAGAGGAAGGTTCATTTCCAACATTTAGTAATACCTTTTGAATTTCTAGAGTTCAGATGTGACTTGCCAGCCTAAAACATAACTGAGCAGATTACTAGTACTAGATGAGAATTGTAAATTTGGTCACCATAAAATATGTATGATAGTGTGCAGGATAAAATACGAAGGACAAATAATCTTAACAGAAACTCTATTGGCTTGACAGTACGAGCAAACGAATAATCAGAGTTAAGCTAAAAATTCAATCAATCTCCTGCATTGCGAGTGAATAGTTTCCTGGAATACATTCTACGGAGTAGATTACTGAATCATATCTGAGGCAACCTTGGTTTTGGGCCCATATATGCCCATCACAAGAACAGCATATACCCAAATGATAAAGAAGTGGAACAAAAATATTACAAGTAAACCAAATATAGCCAGCACAGCAGCCAAAGCGACCAGCGGTTGCCTAATTCATCCTATTCGGAGCACACGCAGAAAAAGACGCCCAATTTCACGATATTATCGCCTTCTTTTTTCCCCTCAAGAGATGCTCGTTGCACAGAGAAAACAGTGAGTTGAGGGTTTTATCTGGAAATACCGAAATCCATCGACGGACTGCTCAATTCATCCTGCCGGAGGGGAGGCGGCGGCGGCGGCGCATTTGCCGTCTCCCTTGGCTGCCGCCGCAGTCATGGCCCCGCCGGCCGGCGGAGGTGGGGAGGTGGACTGGGTGATGGAGGCTGGGACTGGGAGAGAAGTGTGCTGTTGTTGAATTCAGTTGGTATATGGGCCATAAGTCCAGAAGATCAGAACACTACGATGGCCCAAAGTCTCTCGCTCTTGTTTGAATTCGGGTACATTCGTTTTGGGCCTTTCAATCTTTATCACGTTCCCAAAGAAAAACATTTGAAAGCAGTAACTATTTATACATGTATCTATAAATTTCCTCTTAAAAATTTATAAAATATAAAACAGTCTAATTATAGTGTAAACAATCGAAAATACCGAAATGAGAAAATGGGGGAGAAGACCGTAGGCCGGAAGGCGCTGGGTCGGCGTGCGGCCGTGGCCGAGATGTCGGTATGGTTACCTACAGGCTACGGGACTGTGCCTCCCACAGTCCCACCGGCACCCAATGTCCGATGACGACTACCCATAGTGTATGTGTAGTAGGCTAATCATAAGGAAAAAAAAATGTAGTGCAAATCTGAAAATTATAATTGGATTAAAAAATAAACGTCTTAGATCTCACGGTTATATCTGAGAGAAAACTTTACTTATGGTGACGTAAACAAATCTGAAACGTCCATTTCTATAATCATACTTTCCTGTGTAACAATGTCTAGCCAGTTGCATGTTCGATCGCCATATCGGTCCCACAAATCTCGCCCTATGTTTTTTCCCCTCAGCCCTACTGTACACACGAAGAAATTCGTACGAAGCTTGTACGAGAACTACCTCATCACTACGTGACTTCGGTGGCTGGACGCAAAGATCAACCCACAACACTCTGGATTCTTCAGTACAGAAAAGCCAATATCAAAATTGATAGGTTCAATATCCTTCCACTCGTTCAGAGCTTGGCTCAAAGGTGCAGAGATAGCAAGAATAGCATCATCAATTCAATCAGGCATAAGGAGTATATATGCTCATGCTCAGGCCTCATGCTGCTGCCACAATACGAGCAGTATATAGCCAATACTACCAGTAAATCAGAGATTGATGCACTGATGTACTTAAAATATTTAAATAAATAGTTAAATATTATTTAAAAAATCAAAGACGTTATTTATATTAGAACATAGTAAGTATTGTACTCTCTCCGTTTCATAATGTAAGTCATTCTAGCATTTTTCACATTTATATTGATGTTAATGAATCTAGACTGTCTAGATTTATTAACATCAATATACAGTCCAGATTTATTAACATCAATATAAATATGAAAAATGTTAGATGGACTTACATTGTCTAGATTTATTAACATCAGTATATATGTCAAAATTGTTAAAATGACTTATATTATGAAATAGAGGAAGTACGAAACTTTCACGGTAATCGAAGGAAAGAAACGAGGAAAAATCACTGCAAGTACATGCACGCGGGCGCGGACAAACGGGTCGCCGTCCCCCTGCGTGCGTCCAAGACTCGGAGGCCGCGCGCCGTCGCCGTCGTCCGGTGGGGCTGAGCGCCGATCGATCCGATCCCGACCGCGTAACGTCCCACCACCATCACAGCTCCACGACGTTCATCTGAGAATAGAATCCCGCACCAGCTGGCCATTTCAGGTCCAGGAGAAGCACGGCCCACGGCGACGGCATGGATTCCTGCCGCGTGCTTAAATACTCAGACATAACATTTATATACCCTACTCCTCTAAAGTTAATAATACTTGTTAACTACTGCAGAATAGTTAATATAAGTCAGCTCTATAGGTCGTGGAAGTGGTAAAATCACCACCTACAGTGCCTCCCCCTGGCCCGCGGGGCCCCTTGCCCCTCAGCCCGTCCAAACCACAAGAACCGTCACCTTTATCACTTAAAAGGTGCCGGTTTTTAAACAAAACCGATACCTATTACCCCTGTTAGATATAGATGTCGGTTCTAAACTAAAACCGGCATTTTAGTCCCTATCCCAACTACGGGACCTACCCTATAACCAGCATCTTTGTAGGCAAAAGAAATAGATGCCACTTTTCAGTTAAAACCGACACCCATCCTAAGACGAGCCACTCCTCTCTCGCCCCATCCTTATCCACTTCTCTCTCTCCCTCTCCATCCTGTCTCCACCGCCCCTCCCCTCTCTCTTCTTCTTCCTTCTCTCCTTCCTTCTCTCATCCTCTCCACATTTCCTTCTCCTCCTCCTCCATTCATCCACCACAGCTGCAACATGGCAGGGCCCTCCCCTCCACCAAATCTGGCGGGAGGGGAGGCAGCGACCCGGTGGCGGCCGGTGGTGGGAGGGAGGCGGCCCGCGCCGGATCTGGAGGTGCGGCGGTGGGACGGCGGCAGTCCGCGTCGGATCTGGCGGTAGGCGGCGTGCGGCGGCGGTACGGAGGCAGTTTGAGGGGCGGGAGGCGGCGTGCGGCCGTGGGACGATGGTGGTCCGCGCCTCTCGGCGGCAGTCTGTGCCGGATCTGGACGTGCGGCGCTAGCTGGAGGTACGATGGCGTCGGCGGTGGATTCTGATGGCGGACTTCCCACCCTCGACCTCATCGTGTGCTCCCCCATCCTGCACGCAGTGAAGATGGGAGAACCAGCCGTCGGCATCATCTTCATCAGCTCCTCACGTGCTGATGCGCCTCCCTCGCCCTCTCTTGGTGGCGGCGGCGAGCTGCGATGTCTAGGCATTGAGTAGAGACGGGCTTAGTCAACGGATGTGAGAGGGGATGGTCTCTAGCCCACGGAGGTCACTGCTCCTTCCACTGCAGTGATATATTTGATATTATTCTACAAGTTGAAAAAAAATAATAACATAGGTTAATATGTGATATATCACTCCACAAAATGCAATGCCAAAATTCAATTTCTACAAGTTGTAACAAAATTAACAAATTAAACTGAAAGTAATCATCGTACATTCATAGTTATATTTGCTACTTTTTACAACTTGTACAAGTTAAATTCGAATTTGAATTTGAATCGACTATATAAAATTTTGACTTATAAACATTAGCTCTATAAAATTTAGGTATATAAATTTTAGATGTGTAAATTTTAGGTGTATAAACTTACTAAAAGGGGCAATTGTGTTGTTGTCCTTGTTTTACAGTTCAATTGTGATTTTACCCTTATTTTTTAGGGTATGTGATTTTGCCCTTGCTTTTTTTAATGAAGCAGCCGCTTGCCCATACTCTGTTTAACTCATGGTAAGGGTGTTAAGTGTGTGGTGAATGGACAAATATATCCATACTCTTGCCTCAAGCTCTAATATTGTGAATTGAGACACCAATTCCACCAGCACATTTGCTTATGGTAGCACATTCTGAAAGAGTATCATAAATTCCCTCAATGCTATCATCTTTTATGCAGATGAAGAAGCAGCTACTTATTGTCAAAAAAAAAAAAAAAAAAAAAGAAGCACCTACTTAACTGCATAAAACAGAGAGGAGCCGACGGAGCCACCGCTCCTCTCCGCGCGCGCTGGCCGCATGGCCGCTGCGCCGCGCCTCCCTGCGCGCTGGCCGCGGGGCCGCCACGCCTCCCTGCACGCGCGCCCGCGGGTCCGCCGCACCACGCCTACCTGCGCGCGCGCGAGGCCGCCGCTCCTCTCCGCCGCGCCGCGCGCCGCGCTGGCCCCGCGGCAGTTGGCCCACCGGGTCGCTGCGTCTCCCTGCCGCGCGCGGGCCGCTCCTCCCCTTCTCTGTGCTCGCGCGTCGCCGCCGCCGCTCTAGGGTTTTGGATTGGGGAAATTACACTTCCAGCAAGTGGTTGACTGTTTTAGTGAAACAAGGGTAGGATGTCATTCACAAATTATAATATCATTTTTTTATTCGTTTAATTCGGAAATTTCGAACCCACTAAACTACCGTCAAAACCAGAGGTAGACGGCTGCTTCATTTAAAAAAAGCAGGGGCAAAATCACAAACCCTAAAAAACAGGTGTAAAATAATAATTAAACTATATGAACACAATTGCCCCTACTTAAAAAAAAGAAAAATAATGCAGTGACAAAAAAGAAACCAAGTGGAAAGGGGAACCAAGGGCCGCCTCTATCCCACTACCTCCCGCCGCCAAGGGGCGCAGGCCGCCTTTGTCCAACCACCTCTCACCGCCGAGGGGCGCATGCCGCCTCCCTCCCGCCGCCGCACGCCGCCTCTCGCCGCTCTGCCAGATCCGTCGGGCCCCCATGCCTCCTCTTCGCCGAATCTGCAAGGGGAGGGAGAGGAGGGGCGGCGTGTAGCCGGATCTGCAAGGGGAGGGAGAGGAGGGGCCACGCGCTGCCGTGGTCACCCGCCGCCGCCCTTCTTCCCGCCCGCAACTGAGGGAGAGGGAGGAAGGGGCCGAGCACCGCCGCCTGCTGTCGCCGCCGGCCGGCAGGGAGAGGAGAGGAGAGGAAAGGAGTGGGAGGAGAGGAGTGGAGTGGGAGAGAGTGAGGTGGGAGAGAGGGAGGTAGTGGGGTAGTGGGCGGAGGGGCAAGGGGCGCGAAGGGATATCGAGCACTTGATGTAGGGTGGGCTATTTTATTTTCACGTGCGGGCCTGTTAACTGACCTGCACACGAAAGTTGATTTTCCTGTGCAGGCGATGGCCTGGCGCCGGTCCCCCCCTATTTTCCTGTGCGATTTCACTTACGGTCTGCCTGGAAACAAAAGGGTATGGCATTCAGGAAAATCTTTCCTGTAGTAGTGAACACATTAGTCAATTAACCATTTGTCATCAATTAGCTAAAACCCACTAGGGAGCTTAGATGCACTTTACAACCAATGTTGTTGATGTAGTTGAAGCAGTGGGGTGAGGAAGATGAACAAACAACAACACACAGGTGGACATTTAAGAACAAGTCGCCTAGAAAATGCTATGGACACGGGCGACAATCTAAAGAGCATTGTGGACCCAATGATAAGGGTATGCGAAGTGGCGACCGAACATTCCCCAAAAAATTATATGCCCTAAATTTATCATATTTAATCGATGCCAATGTGTTCTGATGTGTTTAAAGGACTCTTGCTCTATTTTTAAAAAGTTTGACTTTTACATCTTTATTTATTTGGCTAGAACGATGATGTTTTCTTCATATCCGATAAGTGTTTGAGGTGATCATGGCTACCTCAAAGAGCAAAGAGCTATGGCACATGACAATGATGTGAACGTGTGTTAGAGGCATTAAACATTCCATATTTTAAAATTTATATTAATGCATCAGGATACAATTCCTCTTCAGATCTTCATTTTGAAAAAAAAAAACGTCTTCCCAAATTGGTAGAGCATCACCGCTAATTTATTCTTTTGTTTCTTATCGTTTTCTACAAATAGTGCAGCAATTGTGTTTTGCACCAGGGAGGTACAACCCTTACTGAGTTGCATGTGCATATAAACCGATTTTTATACATGGCATCTTAGCCTGCGAAAGTTGTGTTACCACCGCTGGCCTCTTAAGGCAGCTGCCCAGGAAAGCAAAAATGAAATTTCACAGACACCTGCCTCTTAGCGAAGCCATAGGGTGAAGTGCTTGGGCGAAGCCAAGCGACAAAGACCAAAGGGTTCGCCACCAAGCCCTCCATCGGAATTGCTAAATATTTGTTGACAGATTTTTGATGGATAAATCTTTCACTTTCTAAACCGTTGGATGTGTCCTAGATTCATGCTAACAGTTTAATACGCATCAAGGTATGTGCTTTTAGGAAGAAAAACAAAACCATATTTAGGATCGATCCTGTGACCTCATGGGATGAAAGCGTGACTGCCTCATTGGGCAACTATATATTATATTTTTATGATCTAGTTGAACTTACATCTTACTTATATTATAATTACATGCGAGTTACATGCAAGTTACATATGTAATTATAATACAAATATAGTGTAATTATAAAAATTACATATGTAATTATAGTATAAATATAGTGTAATTATGAAAATTACATTGTAATTATGTCACAGTTATATTTGACAGATTTTTAGGCTAATTTTTAGTCGAATGTTGTATAGATAGTCCCCTCTCCATTAATTCGGCCAAGTCACCACTAAGGGCGAAGGCTATAAGGCGAAGCAAGCGGCCTTCACCCGAGTAGGAGGTGCCTTTGACTATGGGCTCGGGAGGCCCTGCGGCCCATGGGGGCATTTCGCTGTTAATGGGCTGGCCCAAAGAGATCGCCTGATGGTCCATAAATACAAAAGACACTGTGTACCCCCACTAATGTCCCTATCATAAGAGTATCCCTATAAATTCCCATGTACTAACTAAACCCAAGAGGGTATGAGCCTATACTAAGACTATAAATAGCCCCTAGGGCCATGTAACGGGGGGATCCCAAAATTTTTTTACCAATTAATATATTGCTTTTACTAATCCATCAATTCATTGAGTGAACCACATTGTTCGACGTGATGCAGTTGTCTTTCGACAACAATGCAATTAAAAGAAATATTTCGCTATAGATATATCAAAATCTAATATAGGTTGGGAATCCTAAAAGTTTGTAACTTGTAGATATAGTATAATTATAGTGTAATTGTATTATAAGTTTGTAACTTGTATATAACTATACTACAACTTAAAGATAATCTTACAGTAACAAGCTATTTTCTCGAAGCGGAAGTAGTGACACTGAAAGTCCTCACCAGTAAAATAAATAAGTCGTGCTATGAATTTTTCTTCCCAACTTGCATGAATCTTAAAATAAATCTAAGGGTGTAAAATTATGTAAAAGCTACATACAAGTAAAATATTGTAGTTACATACGAGTTATAATGTATTTATATTTTACAAAAATCGTATGGGTAAATAATCAATAGTGATTCAGCCTCTGATTATATCTATTATTAAAGATCCTTCGTCCTTTTTTGAATAGATTACTCAGCTAAAAAAAATCTATTAGTCAACAAATCTTCCGTCCTTTTAACAAGGATAAGGATTTTCATCCCTCGTGGGGATGTCGCATGAGGATTAATAATCGAACTAATTGAAAATGTCACTTCTTTGTGACTGAAGGTAGTATATGTCACTTCTTTGTGACTGAAGGTAGTATATTTAAAGTGTTTAGTCATCTCCTTGTCTCTCTACTGATTATAGACTGCATAGAATATGTGGAATACACATATTTTCACATTTTCCCATTGACCCAAACTGTTTTACTGTCTTCTCACCTTATCTTATTACTCAACTGGATTTTAATAAAATATATTTGTCTTGGACCATATCTCTTGTTTTCTCTTTACATTTCAATTGTAAAATTGGACTACAAGTTATCACATATTACAAACTAGATCAAATATGAGTTGGTACAAGCTACGAAGAGTTGCTATATCATAGATGCTGAAGGTTCATTTGGACATGTTAACTTTATTGCAAGGGCAATGCATGAGGATTCTGAAGGTGAACTCTTCTATGCTGAGTTGAATCCTGAAGATGGTACTATGGTTCCGACATGTTTCTGCTTGTTACATTAAGAAGATAAAGTTGGCGAGAATATTCTTTAATGCTTTTTGCACAAACTGACTATATTCATTATTTGTTTTGCTAACCTAACCTTTAAATTCATAGGTGGGTTAGAATTTGGAGACAATGAAATTAGTGAGCCTTAATTGGAGATTGACATGAAGTTTTGTTATTCGTGTAGTTCTGACCTACTACATACAAAGAACAGAGCATCCTACATAGGTGGACACTTCACCTGTCCAGGTTATTATGATTTTGATTGACACTGCTTATGAATTGAGTTAGACCTTGCTTTTATGGTACGAGTGTGGATTGAGTTAGTGATTATTAATAGATTGAGTTAACTGTTTGTGACTGTGTAAATATAAGAGTTGGGTTGTAAATTTTTACTGCTAGTATTTGTCTATACAATTAAACAGAAATGACATATTTGGTTGCATGTTAGAAATTTTGTTGAATATGCACTGAATTATATTTTGTTGCAGATTTTAAGTCAACTATCTGCCCATTTTTCTCAACCTAAATTTAGCTGAATATATAAGTACAAGTGAATGTTTGGTTTTGAAAATTCTATATATACTGCCATATCGTGCATTTTGTGCCTAACAAACAGAACAGCCATATTGTTTTTTCTTGTTTCATTCTGCATAGATCAATTCATGAGTTCTTACAATATTCAAGCATTTAATTACATGGAAGTAAATCTAAAATTTAACAAGAGTATATAGGTGCTACAGTACAGTCAGAAACATGGTGACATGGTGGTGTGCATGCGCAGCTCGGTGGAGTAGAACCACGAAGCCTCTGTGCCGGCTGCCTTTGTGTCAAGACTAAAATGAATCCAACCTAGAAATGGAGAAAACTCTCTCTCTCTCTCTCTCTCTCTCTCTCTCTCTCTCTCTCTCTCTCTCTCTCTCTCTCTCTCTCTCTCTCTCTCTCTCTCTCTCTCTCTCTCTCAGAATTCGTGGGCGCCGCAAGACCAATCTACGAGCTAAACTAGGGTTCTAACAATCCTATATAGAGATTGCGATGTGTCTTCGTTGCCAAGCTTCATTGTACCCCTACAGCGAAGCAGCTCCGACTTTGCCTAGCAGTAACCAAATAAGAATGATGGTCACCCACCGTAAAGCAAGAAATGATACCAAGACGGCGAAGGCCTCGTCAGCTTCGGAGTCATTGCAGGAGTCCACCAATGGCCACCGTTGCACGTTGAAGGTTCTTGGTGCTAGAAAAGAGGGGTTAGCGCCATAACAGCACCTTCAAGGAGGGGAACGACGCCTAATGGCATCATTGTCATCAACCAGGCCCATGGTCTGGCAAGGCTTTCGCTAGCGATTCCTGATCATAGTCCCACACAACCATCTTACACAACGACCATCGTCGGACCACCGCGCCATCCCATCACCACCCAAGCCCACTCCACCACCCCACAACTTAAACTGGCTCGCAGGGCTAGCTGCTCTGGATCAACCAGTGTTGTTGCCATCCTCTCAAACCCGCCACCCCCCTCCTCCCACCACCATCACCACACACACACACACACACACACACACACACACACTACCACCGTAAGCCTAAAGCATGTGTTTTGTATTTTTTCTCTCCCTATGAAATTAAGGGGAGAGGCCTGCAAAAATCATTTTTCTACAAGTGTGTCTCACCTCTCCTTTATCGGCCAGCCCACCGCCATCTATTTTTCCCCTCACTGTCGTAGCCTAGATCTCCATTCCCAGTTGTTATTCAACTCCATGATGTTGCCGCTTGCCCCATGGTCTTCATCGCCTAAGCCCCTCCCATCCTGTGGATCCTCCTTGCAACATGCCATCACCACG